ACCCAGTATTTTCCCAAAACAGTTTAGAGAAGCTCTAAGACTCCAGGAGTTATTATAAGTATTCTGTGAATTAAATAAGAAAACAAAAATTGTAGCACTAGCTTTTTCTAAAGTTGTTTTAAAAAATGTAAAATCATTTAACATATTTTGTTATTATGTAAGAACATGTATGTTGTTAATAATGTTGTGCCATCATTTGAATTTCAGGTGACATATTAAGGGTTCACTTGATGAATGCATGACTTTTGATCTTCACACAAATGGACGGACAGCACCAACAATTCACTGTTTCATTATCCATTGCCTACCTCATGATCACTATTCTAGGAAATGTATTGTGTTTCAAAATTTCACTTCACATAAGTTAATCTTCATTGTATATGTAAACAAGATTTGATCTGATCCTGTCTCAACTTTTCTATTTTTTTTACTGATGTCATCAATACAAGAACACATTACGTCATGTGAACTTCTCTGGTGTTCCATCAATGCATTAATCTGCGGTCGCCAACTCCCAGGCCCTAATCCGTGGAAAAATTGTCTTCCATGAAACCGGTCCTTGGTACCAAAAAGATTGGGGACTGCTGCATTAAGTTCCAAAATTAAAGAAGTTTGGTAAATATGGCCATAACTATCACATTCTTTTCTAAGGGATAGTTGTATGGACTATGATGAGCCCTTGTGTTTGAGGAGATGCAAATGGCACAGTTGACTTTTCTGTTATGCCTGTGGATAGATATTTCCACGTGAGCCACTTTTGCTTACTGCTAACACGTAGGATCTAAGTACTTCAGAACTTCACCAGATAGTGGTTATTTAGACACCCCTTCTGGCAGGTAAAAGTACCTTTCTGGCTTAATGTCCTAAGGTCTAAAAAAATAATTTTGTATTTTGAGTTCCTTTGACTTCTGGCTGTAATGTTCTTCTTTCTAATCTTTTCCCTTCACCTAAACATTTACCCATGACAAATTACGCTTTGAAACTCTCCTATTATGTAATCTTTCCAAGATTTTTATGGCTATTTACTATTCTGGGAAAAGGGGCAAGACTCTTCAGTATTTTAGAAAATACTCTAATTACTTCTGTAATAAGAAAAAAGTTCATTCAACTACTTAAAGGTGAAAATTGGTGACAGTATCTATTCTGATGTAGTATTTAGGATTTACTTAGATTCTTACTAGAGTCTATTTACTATAATAAGGAAAACAAATTCAGTTAATAATAATCACTCATCAAGCTGAAAATCAGTAAATACGAAAGTGAAAGCCAATGAATAAAAATTGTCCTACCTTGAAAAACCAGTGAAGACGTTATTAATGTAGTTCATTGTATTCTAATTCAATGCTGACATAAATGTTTTAAATTATATTATTTATTTTTGAGTACTTTATAAATTTGAACTGTGTGTGTGTGTGTGTTTTATTTTTAGAGACTCCATCTTGCTATGTTGCCCAGGCTTCGAACTCCTGGGCTCAAGGGATCCTTCTGCCTCAGCCTCCCATGTGGCTGGGACTACAAGTGTGTGCCACTGTGCCCAGTTAAATTTGATAATATTTTAAAGTTAACTAGTTTAAGCACCAAACCAAACTCTTCACATCACCTAGTTATGTTCCCTGACATCATACAGTTGTGAGGAACGTAGGTTTTTCCTGTAGTCCATTAAGGATGAAAACATAAATTCATTGACAGAATCGGGCTTTATATTTTGTGTCTCTAAACAGGATTGCTTTAAAGAAAATAATAAGGCTACTAAAATGTTACTCATTCCAAATTTTGACAATAGATATTTGCTTATCCTGGCAGACACTGCCTGGTTGTCCCCCAAGACCTACTCTCCCCTCTCCCCTATATGAATGGGATTTTTAGGTGTGCCGACTGTTCCTCAGGAACTGCTGTACACAACCATTAACCAGGTTTTCCTGGTTAAAAGGGGCTCTGTTTTCCAGCTCCTTTTGTGCCTAAGTATGGCCACACAGGCTAAGTTCTGGTTAATGGTTGCATACAGCAGTTTCCAGGAACCTTCTTTATGAGGCAGTTGGGCCACACCCTTTGCTGCTTCTCCCTTTCCTCCACCCTGGAGCTTGGAATGTGACTCTGTTGGCTGGAGCACCATCTTCTCCTATGAGCATGTGAGCCGTACCCAGGGAACAGCAGATTGGAAAGCTGGAAGAAGCCTGAATCCCTGAAGACTCTGTACAACAGAGCTGCCCCACCAGCCCTGGACTGACTATCTCTGGACTTTTATATGACAAAAGAAATAAAATTCTCTCTTAAGTCACTGTTACTTATTTTCTGTTACTCAGAGGTGAACGTAGTCATAACTGACACACTTATCTACTACAAATAACAATGCAAGCATTAAATCTGACTTAAGGAAAGGTAAAAGCAAAATATTAAAAAAAATTAAAATTGGTTTTCACCTGATTATTGTACATTAAAATAAAAAATTAAAAATCAGTTTGTATTCTTAAATATCTGAAGTATTTTCTGGCAACTACCTGATTTCTGGGGAACAAAATGCCTGCTACTATTAGAAAATTCTCATGCCCTGTAGCGATATAACCAATCTGAAACAAGTTATAACAGGTCTTCTTTAATTTTAAAGCCTATCTAAGGGTGTATTATTATCAAAGGCATTCCACGTAAGACCATTTCACCACAAGAGTGCCATGAAACAGACCCAGAGAACTGCATTATAAAATACTTTCGGTATATTTTCTTGAAAAGTGTCAAAAATTCAAGTACATGTTACATGAAATATAACTGAAAACTTTCATTTTTTTTATTTTTTAAAAATTAGAGATAGAGTCTTGTTATGTTGCCCAGGCTGGCCTCGAGCTCCTGGGCTCAAGCGATCATTCTCTTGCTTCAGCCTCCCAAGCAGTTGGTACTACAGGCTTGTACCACTGCACCTGGCAACTTTTATGTTTTTTAACTCATGTACAGTACATTTTGACCTTTTACTGGCCTTAGACTTTACGATATTATTTTTTAAAAGCATTTTAAAAAGTTGTCTTTTATTGTTTTTCCTTAAGTATATAAAGAAAGATATGAGGGTAAAACCTCTAGCCTGGAAGAAAAGTTCTAGCTTGAATGATTTAAAAGGGCTTCTCAGAAAGGGAGAAGTTAAGATGAAAACTTTACATACTGAGTCTTCACTGGACAGGTTTGGGTTCATGGGAACGTAATTCTCTTCGCTGTCATGTGAGTCACTGCTTGAGGTTGTGCTATGCACTGAATCCGGTCGGGGAGACAGGGGAAACCTGGAGGAGCTAATAACAAAAATTATCATCACAAACATAAATCTTGACAAAAACTTCTAAAATTACTCCCACCATGAGACAGTTTACATTCTTTCAGAAATATTCCCCTATGTTTACAATAATTTATTGTACACATTTATTATAACATAATTTGCTGCACACATATGACTAATAATTATAGCTATACTATAAAAGTATGTTTTGGACATCAAATTATCTTGTGTAAAACAAAATGTTACCAGTGACTTAGGCATCAACAGAAAGTCACAGACATAAAAGATTTAAGAATTCCTATTTAAAAAAAATAGCTCTATATATACATGAAACACACATGTTCAACACAGGTTTTTAACTTCATAGACTCTTCTCACTTCCCCATTTCATTTAAATAAATCTCAATTAAATAATCTCCTTAAAAAATTATCATTTTTCCAGATTAGTCATTCTCAGAAATTTTTGGTTTTGTGAACTCTTCTCACTTAAAAATCACTGCAAACCCCAAGGAATTTCTGTATATATGAGTTATATTTATTGATATTTACCGTACTAGAAATGAAAATAGAAATCTATCTATCTATCTATTTATTTTAAAGGCTAGTCAAGTGCAGTAGTGAGAAGGGAGGAAAGTAGTAGATCAAGGAGTTCAATCTGTAACTGACTGTGAACAATCAAGTAAGATAACTCACTACCTTCAGACCAGGCCAGAAATCTTTTTAAAACACAAGAGTAAACAAATACATGTTCTATTAGCTGTCACAACAATATCATCACATACAGCCTTTGTAAGACTCCACTATGCACTCATAAGAGGAAAATGAAAAAGGCAAATAATATCTTAGTATCTTAATAGTTTTGACTTTATAGAACCCAAAAAAGGGAGTATCCCCAGACTATACAATGATAACCACTGTTCTAAATATTTTCTATGATAATAAACTATTCTAATTCTAGGTAGCCACCTTATTCAAACAAACTATTAATACATATTTTAAACAAAGGACTTACTCTCGAGCAAAACTCCTAGTGATGGGAGACCTAACTGGTGCTTGTAATTCTTCCCATTCTGGTAAAGGTTTTATTTCTAAGGGTGCTGGCTTGGCTGAAAAGAACGAGAAGAAGAGATTTTAGGGTACAGAACTTTGGAAAACAAACAAGATTCTCTCTATATTATCTCTATTTGTATTTGATACAAATTTAAGACCAGCTAGTTTCTAAGGTTCATGGATGTTACGTGATTTGCTCAAGGTTACACACAGCTAAATAATTAGTGGCAAAAGCTAAATCAGATAATGTCTCATGATTGTTACCTCAAAGTCTAAAGCTCTATTTATTACATGTTGCATCTTAAAGTAAATATTTTATGTCTATAAACTAAATGAGAACAAGAAAGAGTAATAACCGAATTCCTTTATAGTTGCCTGACATACTTTTCATTATTTCATTAATCAATTCTTTTACTAATTTTATCTTCAATATGGAAATTTAGTCATCTATATAAAAAATGTTCCCATTCTTCAATATTGAAGCATATAACCAAACATTTAAATGATGTGTAGGAAAAATGAAAAACTTGCTAAAACCAAAAATTGAAAAAAGAATTAATGATAAAATATTTTAAAATAATGCATGCCCAGTCTGGAAACAAAACAAAATACTAATTACATTTTTAGATCCAAGCTCTGGTCTGAGAAAAGGCCATAATTACTTTAAACAATTACCTTAAATTTTTAGCTTAATTTAACCAAAGAATCCTTTGCCAAATTATGTAAAATTAAGTAAATGCTAATATTTTCATTAGTTTTATTTATAAGTGGTCTTTACTTATTTACCTTATTATTGCAGTAGAAAATTATTATAGTATGTACCAGAGATTGTAGCCCTTTTCTTAAAGTTGAGACTGAGACATTTTTCAGAAATTTATGGATTGAGTAAAAGAACTAAAACAATACTATTTGTTAATATTAATTATATTTTAGGAGACTACTTAAACATGTTACATAAATATTTTAGTTATGTTTCATCCTGCCACTCTAAACAAAAATTTTCATTTTTCTGGGTTTCCTTATAATCTTTGTCTATATATGTGTAATTTTAATCAACTATGTTATAATTACCATAAAAATACAAAACAGATGCTCATTTTAAAGGGCCATACAGATTGAGGATCATAACTAAGTATTTTTATCAACTCAAATATAATGAAGACTAAATCAATTTATTAAATTTGAGTTAAAACAATTTTGCTTGCCTATATACTTAAAATAGACATGTACAAAATATTGTGCTGACTGAAAGTATTTCTTTAACTCTTAACATTTTAGTTTTTTGATACCCAAAGTCTAATAGCAGTTTAGGTTAGGTGTCAATTTCTAAGTAATGGCACAATTAATCCTAGGAAATGATTCTTTATTCTGTCTCAGAACAGAAGACATATATTACATATGAAGACAGGAGACAACTGGAACTCCCAAACGGTTCATAAGTTTAAAGAAAACAATATATTGTTGTCTAAAAAGCTAAACGAATAATGCAAAAGGACAAGACTGAATATCACATACTATCAAATATCTAACATGCTGCTGTTAATGGCATAACAAGTAGACTCATGTATTATGGGAAGCATTCACTTTAGAAAGAACGTGCTGGGAAGTTTTATTTACAACAGTAGCAGTATTTAAGGCTCTTCTTTTTTGCTTTTTAAGAAAAAACGTTATGAAATAAATAAATTCCCAATGCCCCATACAGCATGCGGTGCTAAAGTACATACCCTTTCTTCTTGTAGCAAAGTCACCTATGGTTTGTGAATCAGTTCGCTCTAAACCATGGGGTTTGGGTCTTAAAATTTTAGGACTTTGACCTAATTGGTAAAAAGAAGACGCTCTTAATATAATGTTATTTTTAAACTGGAAAATGGATTCTGTAAAAAAGCAACAGAGCCCCGTGCAGAAATGTTACATCTCAAAAGCATAAACAAAAGTTTGTTTGTGGAGAATATTTCAATCTTGCTACATACATGCATGCTCAGTACAATGGAAAGGAGAAGTTACATGCAACAATGTAATAAGCAAAGGGTTATAAACAATGATAGGGTTTTAGTGGGATAACCAGCCTGGGTTAGTTGTATCTTTATTTAGGGAAATGGAGGAAAAATAAGTACCATGTTAGTTTTTCTTCTAACATGTCTTAGAAAACTAGACCAATTAAAAAATTATAAAATCCCTCAGTCAGATGTCAAGAAAGCACAAAGGCCTGTTTCCATATAATATTACTCTTCTAATTTGGTAGAGATGCTTTTAAAACCTTAATCTGACTATTCCCACCTCTCCAACCAAAATTGTTCTAGAGGAGCAGATGGCTGCTATAATATTTGCTAATCCAAGACCAAAACCAAGACCAACATTTATTACTTTCCCTTAGACACTCAGTGGCTTCCCAATGATTTCATTTTACAAGAATCAGATGTTTGGATTCTGGTACTAGTGATTGTTTAGCTTTAAACACTTGAAAGTATAAATTCAGTTGCCATCACTTTCCTTTCAGTCTCTGCCACATACAAGTACTGCTGAAAAAACCCTACGAAGAGTATGAGGCTAACATCTAGCCGTCGGTTTCATGCTTTTTCCCATTTAGAAGTCAGGATGCCACAGTAGCAATATCATTGGAATCAGTAATTTAAGCTACTCTATTCTTAATGTCACCAAATGTTGTTTCTCGGAATTTACAAAGTTGACATCTATTAGATGGCAAAATTAGAATTTGCTGGTTAAACACTGATATCTAGCACCTTATCTACTGAAATCTAAGTTTCTTACAATGTGATTCTCTGGGTTATGAAAAATGAAAATTCTCTCACTAATCGATTTTCTAAGTTAGACAATGAATACATCAAGTTTATTCAGAAATGAGGCAGGCTGAGTTTAAAATGTTAGTATTAAAATTTGGAGCAATGGCTGGGCGCGGTGGCTCATGCCTGTAATCCTAGCACTCTGGGAGGCCGAGGTGGGAGAATTGCTTGAGCTCAGGAGTTCAAGACCAGTGTAAGCAAGAGCGAGACCCCATCTCTACCAAAAATTGTAAGAAATTATCTGGACAACTAAAAATTTATATAGAAAAAATTAGCCGGGCATGGTGGCACATGCCTGTAGTCCCAGCTACTCGGGAGGCTAAGGCAGGAGGATCGCTTGAGCCCAGGAGTTTGAGGTTGCTGTGAGCTAGGCTGACGCCACGGCACTCTAGCCCAGGCAACAGAGTGAGACTCTGTCTCAAAAAAAAAAAAAAAAAAAGAATTAAATTTGCCACAAGCCCAGCTGCTGAAACGTCCTGCTATCACCCTAAGACCAGTTTTATCTACAACCACCATTCACGGATCAGAGCTTGCCAGCTCCTCAAAGCTTCTCCAGTGCCAATGAGCTTTCTATCAAAACAATACGTGACATTTTTCTTTCTAATAAAACCCCCAACCTTCTCCTTGTTCTTCAGACTCAACAAAGACCACCTAATCTGTGTGTATGCCAAACTGCAATTCTTGCTTCCCAGATAAAACGTTAAATTGAGATTCGTGTCTATGTTTTTATTTTGACTTTGACAAGTGCAATGTATTAATAGTGCCCAGCTACTTTCAAGTTCTATTCAATGAATTATATTCCAAGACAGAAAATGATTTTACAGATAAGTACACAGAATTCATATCGGTAGTTTGGAGAAGTCACAGGGAACACGTAAGTGCCACAAGAATAAGCTACAGAAGCTTTTTATATCACATTCTTTTCCTGAATTGCTATCTGCTCTGGCTAGAGCATTTCCTTACCTATTTCTCACGTACGACTTTAAAATTTCAGCCCTTTCTCTATTTCTTCACCATCAATATCCATCAGTGTTTTATCAGTGTCTTTAATTTCTACACAAAACTCAAGTTATAATAAATTTCCTTTTAAGACTACCTTGAGAAATACCACTACACTTAATCATTAATAATGAACATTTATGGAGGACTTCTTCTGTGCTAGACACTATAAAAACTCATTTAATCCTCCCAACAACCTTGTAAGGAAGGTACAACTAAAACAGATTTTAATAATTTTACAACTGAATAGGTTAGGGCTTATAGAGGTTAAGTAACTTGCCCAGAGTCACATAGACGATGATTGGCAGAGCCAGAAGTTAAATCCTTTGAATCCAGAGACAGGGTTCATGCTCTTATTCCTGTATCCTTATTTCAATCTGGAATCCTTACTATAATTAATCTCAGAAGAGCATTTGTATTGTTTTGCTTTTGTGTACAGTAAATCTTCCCAACTAAATTTTAACATTAAACAAACATTAAATAGATACATAAAATCATTACATTTCTCTGAAAGCTTTACATCAATGACCAGTAATTTCTCGTTGGTCACAATGAAAACAAGTATAAGTGATTGTAATGATGTATACAATGTGATGTAAATAATTTTCAAAGAAGTCACATGATCCAAGGAGACTTTGTATGAGCCAAAAGCAGATGCACGGAATCAGTAAGCCTTTCATTCAAATTATTCCTCATCTCTACTATCTTTTTTCCAGGGTGAGTACTAAAAAGGTACTCTTTTTCTAGGGTATTCTTTTGTTTTCTTAATAGAAAAATATGGTATAATTACATTAAGTGAGATTTTAAAAGTGCATCAATAAAATTTACACATATTTTCTATTCTGTGCAAAGCTTAGGTTGATTTTAGGGCAAAAGCCACAACAGAGAAAAGTTGCACTGAGTCACTTTATTTCTCTATGTCCTTCCAAACTCAACTCAACATTTACATTGCAGACAGAAATGAAAGTCATACTCAAACAATAGCCCAATATTACTTATGAGGAGAGAAGGGAGAAAAATAAGTCCAAGGTGTAAGTAGGCCTGTCTTAGCTTTTTCTTCTCCTTTACTGCCTGTAGGCAAACAGGCAAATTTTTTTCTGGTTATTGAAGAAAAGTGTGAAAATAGGCAATAAGAAATAGGAATACTAAAGCAAAGGTAAAAATGAACTTCAGTAACATGTAATACACTGATCCTCAAATTCTGAGAGTAAACAGTGTAATTCATTTCAGTCTCAATCTTTAAACCCAAGGCAGTT